AAATTTGGCGCTCTGACTTTCAATTCCATTCACGAGTGGAAGATGCAACAAATTATTCAAAAAAAATTGAGAAAGTCAGAGCCCACTGTTGCACTCTTTTGAACCGTCATCAACAAGCCTACTTTTCCGACAATATGAATCTCTCGGACAACATCAGCAATAATAGTAACTGTACAATGACCATGATGACGAAGACGGATCCCATTTCATTCAGAACCGATTTTTTGGAAGGCTTTCATCGAGTTCATGTTGGCCATTTTGCTTCAATTCCGATTGTGTTGCCATCGAACAACAGCCAACAGTCATCATCATCCAACCACAACAACAACAACAACATTCAAGATGAAGAAACTAATTTAATGGCCTCCGTGGATGGAACTACTTGCTTTCTAGATCAGGATTACCAAGATTGTAAAACTAGGCTCCTCATGCAAAGCTTCTTCCTGCCAAAGGCTTCCATTATCAATATTTCAAATTGTGGAAGGAAGGAAGTACAGAATTTTATCAAAATGAGCAAGAGTATTTCAGTTTTGGACAAGGCCAATGAAGAAGTTGGAGTTGGCAAGAATGAATTTGCTTATTTGAGGTAGGTTGGGAATTACTTTTAAAAGTGCCACTTCTTGCAAACAATTTAACCCTATTTCGAAATACCAACTTTTAAATAACAACGAATACTAACAGTGACTTGTGGAATCAAATGTTCAAACTACCTCAAACGATGCTCAAATATAGTGGCAAGCATGAGAGTTTTTGGAGAGGAGGAATATTCTCCACCTTGTATCGTTTTATTACTCGTGATTACGAACACATTTTTGATGAGAATAGAGATTTTCAATGCATCGATAGTGGGTCAACTCAGGACAGCAAATACTCAGGTGACCTAATAACTTCTTCCTTCCTGTCAGGTGACATTGTTAGTAATAGTACCAACATCAACAAAATGAAACTCGATGGCACCTTCTTCATTGGCTTCAATCATCAAAGAAATAAGGAAATTCGTGAACTCACTCGTCGTATGGTGTCTGCGTTGGCAACTGAGGCATCGACCACGAGAAGTGTCATCCTTCCTCAAACAACATGCGTTGCTTCTGATACCATTGTATCACCCACTTCATCGAAACAGCAAAAGCAATTTCTCGATCAAGCCTTCCAAAGTGGAACCTTACTTCCTTTCTTTGGATCTTGTGAGCGTAATGACACCACTGGAAATCAATATCAAGCCGAAAACGAATTGAGTTTGATGCTTAAATTGTTTCTTGAGACTCAGTATACCTTTTTCCAAAAGCTAGGCTCCAAACCTAAGAAACGTTTTGTTTCTGGTCTTACTTGTGTCGGTCCTCTTGTTACATGCTTTGTGATGCGAAGATATCATACTGTTGTAGAATCATTCGAAAGTGATATCAGCTTGAAGAAGAATAGTAGTAGCAATGTTGAACCAATTTACGTCATGCAACCTTTAGATACATTCAACTTGTCCAACTATGACGACTTGTTGAGATGTGCCAAATATCTCACTGGCGTAAGAAAATTAGGAGAATCTCTTTTTGCGGAAGTGAGAAATGCTCTGAGACATCTTTGTGGCTTGCCTTTGTTGGGCAATGAGAAAAAGACATTAAACAGTGCTCAACAACTTTCAAATGAGAACAATCAATCAGATTCAGATCCAAGTCATGACAATGGTTCTTTAGTATCATCCAATCATATGGGAAATGCTCATAACCCTAATGAGAAAGTCAAGAATTCAAATCAACAACATGCCAAATCTTCTTCAAATGCCAGCAAATCCAACGTGTCTGTTAACCAGCAACTGTCTGTATCTCCAAAAGCAAACAGCAACAGACGAGAAGAAAGAACTCCTTCGAGTGGTGAAAAAAGAAAGCAACCACCCACGCCAGCGAATGGCACCTCCAGCATTAGTAGTAATGGAACAGCCACGCAAGAATCCAAGTCACAGTCTAGTTCACAGGTTCAAAAGAAGCAAAAAGTGAACGCCAGCACTGCCATCTCACCAGAGAGAACTTCTAGACCAGCAGCGGAACAAACACCAGGAGAGCTGACGATGATGAACAGCAACAACATCACCAATAATGAGGAGACAAGTCAAAGGTCCACTCAACAAGATTCTGTTTCCAGCAGTGCTAACGATAGTGAACGAATGATTGTGGACAATCATGAAGCTTCAAGTGACCTTGATGAGTAGATAATCTAAGGTAAAATATCATTATTGATTGGACACAATAAACCTTGACACATCTTTCCAAACTGGCTCAATGTTGCTGTTTCTCAATTCTCACAGGCATAGGAAAATTACAAACCTGGGTAAATACTTGGTCCTCTCTGAAATCAATGCGGTCGGTAAGCTATTTCGGGCATTAAAAAAAAGCCCAACAACAACAACCACGCATCAACTTCGACCATCAACTTCAAACGTTCACTCACTTCTAAAGCGTTGGCAGCCGTAGTCTTCGAGTTGGTACCCACCTCCTGTTTTGTCGGATTGGCAATTTCAAGAACAAAGGAATCGCGGTGTTGTTGTGAACGAATTCAGAATCTGGATTGAATCGATCTTTCTATTTCACATCTAGAAAATTGAGTCAAGTTTGTCAAACTCTCACATCTCTAGAAGAGATTTCCAAAGTTATTCGTTGGAATATACTTTGCTTCTTCCGAATTCTTCTCGCTTTCTTCTCACAAGATGTATCAACCAAATAATAATAATAATAATAACAACCAAAGACCTTCATCATCATTAAAGAGTAGTACGAGTAGTAGTAGCAACACCAGCGGTATGGCCTCATCCAATAATAATATTATTAACAACAACAACAATAGCAATCATCATCACTTACCAATCATCATGATGGGTCATACCAATCCAAATTCCATTCAATCACAACCACAGCAACAACAACCACTTCTCCAAGCAACTCCGAGTGCTCATTCTCTCCTCGATACAACAACTACTTCTCCATTATTTGGCTTTTATCAACAACAATCATCTCTTCCTACAACCTCACAGCTTCAACCATCTCAATCATCACATCAACAAGATCAATTATTTGCTTCCTTTCTTCTCAATCATTACCTCTTGTTGCAACAACAACGAGAAATGCATCAACAACAGCAGTCACAACAAAACGAACTCTCTCCAAATCAACTTCAACAGCAAGCCATGATTAATAACATGATGTTAATGATGTCCATGATGAATCCGATTCCTAACGTTATTTCGCCTTCTCCAAATTTACCCATATTGGATTCACAACACTATTCACAACCGCCCATCCTTCAATCAGTGTCATCCTCTAGTAACACATTTGTCACTAATAATAATAATAATACTCTGTCTTCTCTTCAAAATGGAACCTCTTCCGATGTACCTACAACAGCCATCTCCATTCCTGAACCACTTTATGAATTGTATATAAAACCGATTTTAATGAGTTTGCAGAATTGTGGGTTGTATTCAGGCTCGAATCAACCACAACAACAGCAACAAAAATTGCAAGAAACTCAGCAACATGAAAATCAACTCACTTCAAGCAGTGATCATATCAGCAATAGCGGACTCCTATTGTCACCAGTGAACATGACCAGTAGTGACAATCAACAACAAAATGAACTGACAATTACATCACCAATTTCATTCTCCGTTGATGATTCGAATTTAAGAGCAGATCATAACAATAATCAATCGATGAGCGAAATGAATAATGTAATTTCACAACAAGCATTACTCGAAAGCTTACTTTTGGAAGAAGGCTTGGCCTCAGTTGTGGAATTGTTGGAAGATCAATCAAATATTAACAATAATACTAACTGTAATATTTCAAATTGTGACAAAGATGAAGAAAAGAAACAAGAAGCTCACAAACATTACGATCCAAAGTTAAATAAGAAAGGTCTCAAGAAGAAGCGTAAATATATCAAATCAGGTCTATACAAAAAAGACAAGGATGGAAATTTTTTATTTTCGAGTGGTGACAGAGCAAGATTAGCTCAAATCAATAATCCATCCAACAAACAATCAGAGGGCGAACTTGGTCACAATGAAGATTTCGGTCCCAATGAACATCAAGGATTTTACATGGAGGATGAAAACAGCTTGATAGGAAGCATTGAATCAAAAAACAGTGGTGCATCATCAAGTGGTGGTGAGATTGGATTTGGTCTAAGTGGAAGCAGTTCCTTGATGAATTCATCACAACAAATTCAGTCTGACAAGTCCATGAATCGATGTGGCAGTTTCCACGATTTATTAGGAATTGAGGACAATTTTGATGGTAATGAAAAACATGAATTTTCTAATGGTGCCGCAGCAAGTAGTAGCAACAGCGGAATTGGTGCAGTTAATCCTTTTGCTTCCCCCACTCAGCCTAATGATGAACAGTTACAACAGCTTGGATTCGAACGATATTTTTCAGACCAATTGCTTCACATTGAGAATGGTGATGGCATGTCTGGGGAGGAAACGTCACAACTGAAAATTTTAGTATGGGCTCAATGGCAGCTCTTATCGGATGCAGAAAAGAAGAAATATATTGACCTTTCACTCAATGGTGACATGACAGAGACATCATATATTGCTTCGTCACAACCACAACAATCACAACTACCAATACGTAGAGATTCCAAGAATTCAATGGATGACACAACCACTACAGGAAGTAACATGTTATTGTATCCACAACCTAATGCCACTATTGCATCCACTCTCTCAAACAATAATTATAACAGTAAGAAGAGACCATCTGTAAATGAATATGAGGATAATGATAATGGAGAGCATCAAGATAATGCATCGAAGAGAGCGGATCTTTCAAATCGAGTGAAGAAACCTATCAGTGGTTACAACAGCTTTGTGAAGAGTGTGTTCCCTACGTTTCAAGAACAGTATCCAGATGTGGATAAGAAACAAATTACCAAATTGATAGGTCAAAAGTGGAAGTCAATGAGCGAAGAGGAGAAAAAAACCTTACTTGGAAATTGCAAAACAAGCTCAACCAATTGTCAAGAAACCACTCAATGCTTATAATATTTATTGCAAGGAAAAGTATTCACAATTTAAAGCGGAGAATCCCACGCTCCCACCCAATGAGGTGAGTAGAATGGTCGCTCAATCATGGAAGAATGCTAGCAAGCAAGAGAAGCAAACCTATTTTGAAATGGCAGATCAATGGAAGAAGGATCATGGCATGCAGGAAACATCTGCTGCTAATGGTCATGAAGGATCTTCCACCGACGATTTAAAACCAAAAACAAAGAAGAAAAAAGACGTAGTATTGAAATAATAAAATAATAATATTATTTAATTACCAATCTTGCTAATAGATCTAATGATCTATGAAAAACCGTAATTTCGTTGAAACAGAATGTTCCTTACAATGAAAGTTATCAATATATTGCAATTCAAAGAAAGAAAAGCCTTAAGGTTGGTTGGACTTTTCTTTCAATTTTTGTAATCTCTGCTTCTCAATTTCTTGGAGAATTTCACGATGATTTATCTGAGGTACTGCTCGCATTTCTTCCGTTGGTTGACTTCGTTTGACCACTTCTTCTAGAACTTGGTCTTGTCTCTCCTTATTCGCCATACGTTGTTGGCCTTTAACTGCCATCCATGAAATAATCATGACAATGGCTAAAATTACAAGCGTCAAACGAGCAGGAATTTTCTTTCTATTCGAGGGACGAACTCTAACTTCTCCATACAATTTAATCATTTCATCAATTTGTTCCTTGGCGTAGTGTTTTTCATCCTCAGTAGCTGTAGGGTTCATTAATAACTTCATGAATCGATCGAAACGATCGTGGTCCTTAATCCACCATCTCATCTGTTGTCTGAAAGTAATTTTTTTATATTCTGCCTTCTCATCAATTTGAGCTTGTTCCCAAGCTTTTTTAAATTCATTTGGATCCATATTTTCGAAAAATTGCTTTTGGAAATTGTCTCTAATTTGTTCTCTTCTTTGTGCAAATTCTTCTGCTTCCAGCTGCTCTTCACGTTCTTCTCTCATTTTCTCGTAGGCAGCTCTTGAATTTGGTGGTGGGGGTGGAGGATTTGTAACTTGAGAGGATGCTGCTGATGTTTTGGGTGGACTGCTCAGAGAGGAAGATCTACCCAATCCACCCGAAAAGAAAGGCTTTCTATTCGAATGTTGTTGTTTTTGTTCATTGGTTGTATTATCCTTCATCATCATGGATTGATGAAAACAAGAACAAGAAGCGGCAGAAGATTTTATTCGACTTGATTGAAAATTTTGTAACCACCATACGGATCCATATGATGATGATGCGAATGATGAAACATTGCCTGCATGCAACAACGAAGGATGATGAAAAATCGTTCTTGATGATGAAATCATTTTTTTGAAAAACTAATCGGGCCGACCAATTAAAAATTCCCGAATACGTGTTTCAAAAAGTTGTTATAATTATAATCTGAATTGTTACAGAATGAATTGTTGAAAGAATTGATGATGATAACTTCCTAGTATTTATTAAACAACCATAATAGTAAAAAATTAGAGAAAGTTGCTTAATGATTAAAACCATCATCAGCAAGAACATTGAAATAATCATCATCGGTCTTTCTTCAAATTTACAGTGAGTCATTCATTCAAACCCTTAATGATGGCGACGATCATGGGCCACCTGTTGCTGAATGGCCACAATAATTCCAGCTAATGAAGCACATACAATAATCAACACATTAAATCCAAAGAGACCCCCAAAAGAAGGAACGAGCCAATTCTCCAAATCTTCTCGCTTCTGGAACCACATTAGTCCTATATTTGAACACAAACAAGTACGGAATACAACTTGCAAAGGGAGTACAAAAGAAGAATAAGAACAAACTCGTAGCAAAGGCAGCAGCAAAGGCATTCCGAGCCTTATTGATTTGTTTGCTCTCATAGTAATCATCGTCTTCATAGGTTTTCGTGGTGAGCGGTGTGGAAGCACTGGAGGCTGCTCCAATATATGGAACCGTAGTGGGTTGGGCATGATAGTGATGATGCTGCCGAGGAGGAGGTTGTTGAGACAAATAGGGTTGTTGCTGAGGAGGTTGTTGAGGTGGGTTAGTGTAGTAGGTGTGAGGTGGAGGAGGTTCTTGGAAGGAAGGAGTTGGATCCATGGTGTTGAGAATGTGATGAAAAAGCAATAGATGAAGAATTGATAATATTAACAATAATATTGAGGGTTGTGTGCTCTAAAAGTGTCACAGATGTAAACCTTTTTCACAGTAAGATGAAAATCAAAAGGTGATAACTACAACAGTCAAAGGAGATTTAGCAGTGAGAGCGACAAAGAATAATTAGTGTGTTTTTTCACTGCTTGTCGATAGTGAGTGAATGATGGATCCAACACCTCGACACGACAATTTGAGGAAAGAACTCTTATTTGGATAAATGATGAGTTTGGAAAAAAGGCACTCTAGTGCATTGGTCGTATAATGTTTCAATTAATGGATGAAATAGGTTATAATGCTTCTATCTAGACCTTACTTACATCTATTAATTAATTGAAACATTTTCCGATGATGGTCATTTGGATATCATGAATTTCACAGAACATTATCATATTTAATGCCTTTCTTCAATGTAAATACAAATAATAATTTAAATCAGACTAAGAAGAAATCAAAAGGACACACAAGTGTAAACCTCTTGCAATTATTGATATGGAGGATAGCCACCATAAGGAGGTTGTTGTGGTGGATAGCCGCCATAAGGTTGTTGAGGAGGATAACCTCCATAAGGTTGTTGAGGTGGATAGCCACCATAAGGTTGTTGCTGTGGTGGGTAGCCATATCCTTGTTGAGGTGGATATCCGTATGGTTGTTGTTGTTGCTGTTGAGGAAAACCTTGTTGTTGAGGTGGATTTTGACTATCGAGTTTGTGTTTCAAAGAAATTGAATTGTCAGAATGGATTCACTTTTGCTTTCATTGATATTCATTATCACTTACCCAAAATCTTCTGCCAATAGTTCAACAGTTAACAAACCCTTCTTGGAGTAGGTTAATTTCAAATCAACGCGTTCAGGAATTCCTCTCGTAAGTGTTCCCAATGCAATGGTTGCTTTTCCTATGATATCATTTCCTCCAAATCGATCATAATCATAAACTTCAAAAGTGATCGATTCTGTGGCAGCATTCACTGTGGGAGGAATATCAAAGAAGAGAGTTGTGTTCCAGGTTGGATTACAAGTCTTGTTGACATGATCGGTTTTGTGAGTCACTCCTGCCACGGTGGCTTTCACATAGGGATCTATGAGGATGTGAAATGTCATGATCATTCACATCAACAACGTCGGTTGAATCAAGCCAGAGTGTCACGCCAAATATGATCAGTGGGATGATCATTGTTATTTGAATTTCAAAATTATCGAATATATATAATTATTAAAACCTACCTGATGTACCTCCAACGTCCTTTCCTTCGAGATCTCTTGCTGAAATGATGGTAACTTTAAGACGGCCCATGATGATGACTGTTGTGTGATGTGGTTGGTGGTTGTGTGAAATTTCGGAAGTGATAACTTTGATTTTTTTTAATGTTGTTATGACTTGCGAACAATTGTTTCACAAACCCTTTTATGTGCAGAAAAGTGGTTGTTCATGAAAAATCCAAAAGTGAACTTAAGAAAGGGTGCTCTTTGGGGGATAGTCGTATCTGCTCTTTTATGAGCCAGGAGCATTAGAACTTAGCAAGTTTCGAAACAAAGGTCGCAGTGTCATTCATTTTGTCTGTCTGCAACGGACCATTCAATATTGAATAATTTTCCTCAAATGACTCAAAAGTTTTCACAGAAAACAGTGCAATTGTAAAAATCGGAACCACCTCGAGTTCTTTTAGTATTTTCTAATTGGAAAAAATGTCTTCTCAACAAGAAGAACGACAACACTCCGAGGAAGAAATTGTGGAGTTACAAGATGAAGAGCAAGTAAAAACAACAACAAGTATTACCAACAAGGAGCAAGAGGAGCTTCATCAGAATGTATCGGAACACAAAGAAGAGCAACCACAACAGGAGGACACTATGGATGATGAAAAACCGAAAATTGTAGAAATTGATATTTCTCAACATGTACACGATTCTAGACTTTCCTTTGATCTCAGATCGGATCTTTCTACGGTTGGTCATGATCCGAGCAAGATTGAATTTAAAGCACCTTTGGCTGGAGCTATTTTGAATTTAATTTATTCGATTGTTTATTTAATATTATCATTGATGGAAATTAAGTGGAAACATGATTTTCTTGAAAAATATGATGATGATCATCATGATAAAATGGATGAAGATCAAGTGGAAGGTTTGACCTTTGTTGGATTATTTTGTTTGATCGTCGGAGCTGTGATTAGCTTGATTGGATCTATGGCTGGAGTGTTAAGTTGTTGTTTGTTGTGGAAGAAGGAACAAGTTATGAAATGGATGAACCGAACTAACAGAGCATTTGTGAATATTTCCTTGTTGATTGCAGCACTTTGGCTTGCCTCGACTATTATTTCTATAATTCCATTTGGAGCGCTCTATCTCATTATGAATTGTACAGTTTCTATTGCTGACTCTAAAACTGTAAATGTGTTGCCAATTTTGGGCATTTTGTTGGGTGGTGTGTTTGTGGTATTCTCAATTCTATTGACAAGAAGAATATGGACCAATAAGGCTCATTTTGGCGATTATGGATTTACCTTTCATTAGGGTCAATCAGAGTCGCTGTGCCAATATTCCAACCATGATTCATTCATTCATTAGTCATTGAATCCTATTCCATTCAACAAAAAATTGAATTCTCTCTAATTATTTATTATTAAATAACAATCCATAAATGCCAAATTTCGAATCAAATCTTTGACAACAACTCGGATCACCATCATTCCACTCAGAAAGGTTAAAGCTTACTCATTCTTGGTGCTGTTTGAGATGACTTTAAAATTTCCAAAGCCACTTTCTGACCAGTCTCCATTGCTCCGTGAATGGTCGCTGGTGAGTGTTGACAGTATGCCTCTCCAGCAAAATAAATTTTCGAATCAATAGGTTGACCCAATACAACACGTGGTTGTTCAATATAATGTCTCTTGGAAGCATCAGTGGTGAGAGCAAAACTATAGGCACCTGCCACATGATGAATATTTTGCCAATTTCGAATATCTCCTCCTAAATATCCGTCATTGTTGTCATTCAAGTGATACGTTTTTTGAATGAATTTTCTGAAATGTTGTTTGATTTCTTCGTCGGTCATGTGAAGAGCATTATCGGCTTAGGAAATTTTCGTTTTGAATGAACAAAATGAATTGTTCATCAATAATCGCACCAATAGATGAGGTACTTACTGAGAAGAAAACCCAATCCACAATCCTTTGGATTCGTTGCAGAAAAATTAAAAACAACTTTCAATGGTATTTTCAACTTGTTCACCAACACGTCCCACAAAATACTTCCTTCTCCATGAACAAATTCGCCTATCATGTTCAAGACATGTTAGACATTTACGAGGTCATTTATAAATATTTTGAATTTTTTCACACACAAAAATTGTTGTGCAATTTCCATTTTAGTACAATTTAAAAAATTACATAATTTAACAATAATTTTTCATCACATGATAATCATCCTCTCTGCACTCAGAAAAATAATTTTACATACCTCCGAGTTCAATTCCTCGTTCTCTATTCGAGCAAACTCTTCCTCCAATTCTTTCACTTGCTTCCAAAACCATAAAATCATGTTGATCATTTTCAGCGAGTGTGTTTGCAGCCGTTAATCCAGCTGCTCCTCCTCCAATGATACAAATTTTGTAATGATGACGAGAATGTTTGTGAGAGGACAAAGTTTGTTGCTTGTTCATGAATTTTTTTCGAAAATTCAAAAAACAAATTGATTGTTGACACTCAAGTCAAGGACTCTCTCTGTCATCCATATTTGAAAGAAATTGTCTCAGTTCTCATTCAGTGCATTCAGTGTTGTTGTTGTTGTCGACCTTGAATTGTCATAATTGACAGGAGGAAAACAATGAAATTCAGAAATTACAATAAAAAAATAATGGAACAAAGGAATGCCCTTCATCATCAGAACGATTCGAACAACAACAACAACAACCATCCGAATCATGAAAGAGATTTGGAGAAGCATCATAATCGTATAGAATCAAAAAAGGTAGGATTGTAGATGACAAAATCATTCCGATCAGTGGTGATGATCATCAATTCAATTTTCGGAACAATGGGACTCGGAAAATTAATAATACCTCATGAATCAATTAATTTATTAATTAATTTTTTGGATCTAATTTCAATGTTTACTTTTTTGTAAACTCCCTCAAATTTAAATTTAAACCATTCCTGTCTATAATTTTAAAAATTAGGAAACTGATAATAGTAATCCCTCTATTGATTTGGAAAGCCAGCAACATCTTACTCAACAACCATTCATCACCAATGATGATGAGCAAAGCAATTTAGACTTTTACGAAAGCTCATTCTCAATATTTACTCCATTGAAAGAGGAAGAGGCTCCCAACAGTCATTCTAACATTCATTCATCAACAAATACATATTCCTCAAAACGAACCATTCAATCTTTTATATCCTCACTTTTCAGTCATTCCATTACATGGCTTATTATTGTTTCAATTTTAACTGTTTTACTCTGGCAATTGCCTTCTGATGTTGGAAATTATATTATTTATCCATTTACAATATTTGGAACGTTTTGGCATGAATTGGGACATGCCACAACGGCCCTACTTTGTGGAAATACTCTCGAGTTTATCAAAATTGAAAGCAATGGAAGTGGATTAACAGTGTATCAAGATGTGACTCAAAACACTTTTTGCAATGCCTTAATAAGTGTGAATGGACCATTGGGACCCACGTTTTTTGGATGTCTCATTATTTGTTTGAGTGTTGCATTTGTGAAACATGAATTATTTTCGAGAGTGTTGTTGTCCACCATTGCCACCATTGTGTTGATAGTGACCGCACTGTTCATTCGAAAATCAATATTTGGAATGGTTTTTCTTCCAATAGTGTCTCTTGTGTTGTATGGAATAGCACTCAAAGCACCCAAAGTTTTGGTGACCTTCTCTTTGCAATTCATTGGTGTACAAATGGCCATTTCCATGTATGAAAATTTCATGTACTTGTTCTCCAAGATGAATGGAAAATCTGATACTGGATCTGTGGAAGTTCTCTTTCGTGGAGTGATCCCTTATTGGCTGGTAGCGATTTTAATTATTGTGATTAATGTGACATGCATGACATTGAGCTTGTGGTTTGTCATTCGACATTCTTTGAGAGTTCGTCAATCATCATCCTCTGATGAGGCAACAGTAGTGGTGAACCAACAACGGTGACACCACTCAATATCTTATTGTGCATGCTTCATCATCCACTACTACAGTGATTATATAAATGACAATATATGAAGCATGAATTGCCAATAAGTATTAAAAACGAATTGAGAAACCCATGTCGCCGACCTAATTGCATTCATACGCACTCGAAAGGACCAGGGTTCCCCACATTCTTTTGGGATGGTTATAACATTGGCTAGGTAGTGATCTTTCTATTTGTGTGTTCTGTATAAAGTAACTGTTTATTAATTAATAGGAAGCATTAAACCTACACCACAACTTGGCAGATATGCCAAAATTTCTAAACCAGGAAATTTAACAATTTAAGGCGCCCACAACAATAAACAACAACAAATATCAAGGGAAGAATCTGTGGAATAATTTCTACAGCTCCCAATGAAACACTTGTGAATCACGTGGTTGATGCATAAATCCCTGTGAATAAAATAAAGGCCAACCATCATCGTCATGACCACCATTACATTGAAATTAAGGTCATCATCAATAATAATAGTACCATCTTGTGAATTAAAATAATTTTCAACAAATTGAAAATCGAATTTCAAAATAGTCACCAACCAGCGTAACGATTTCCAATCCGATCGTAGCTTTCGAATCACCCTTCCAACATGTCTTTCAAAGTCCTTATAGCATGTAATAAAGTGTTTGTATACCAAATTCAAATTATGGCCACAACAAGTAATCAGTGTTACGTTGAGCATGGTTGGCTTGGCAACTGCAATCACATTCGCCCCATTATCGGACATCATAAAGTCAACACGACGGCCATTCCATCCACTCTCAGCTTGTTTCACAGTTTCAAATAAGGTCTGTGCTGTTTGATTTAACATGGGTTGAATTTTTGAGCAAATGGTTGTCCTTTTGTACTTGAGTTTCAATTGACGCTCAAGTTGATACATTTTACGAGTGTCTTCTTGACAATGTAGCTGTTTTCTGAGCAACATGGTGTATTGTTCTGAAATTATTTCCAATTCCTCTTCATTCAAATGTTCAATCATGTTATAAAATATAGACACAAAACCATCACTTTCATCAATCATACGAGTAATTTTCCCTGGAGCATGTCGTAATTTATCATTAATAATTTCATCTATGGCTCGGGAAATGGCTTTCATGTGTCTTGAAAGACAGCTATCCGATGGCACATCTAATATCTTTTTTCCAAAGAATACGTGTTGGAAAGCATTATTACAAATTTCGAGTTTTCGGATTGGTATGTGAGTTTCCTTGAGTGCTCGAAATAAATTCAAAATGTAGTGGTATTCGGTGCGATTATTTTTTTGCGGAGTAAGTGTAGCTGCAACCACATTTATGCCTTGAATGTCCATTCGTCGAGATTGCTCTTCGATTGGTAATAACACATCTTGAGTAGAAACTGTCCTTGAATTAATTTCTCGAGAGGAGTGTTGAAGAAGGTTATGACGGACCCATTTAGAATTCTTGTTTTGGTTAATTCACTCATGCTCAACATTTAACGTACTTCATTCGATACCAACCTCACTCTGGATATAGTAGTCTTCTATTCCTGACGTCAACACTGTTGTTCCTTTCAGAGTTTTGGACTTAAACATCGTATTTGGTTGTCAGATCTGCCAGTTTGTGGGGAACCTTGGAAAGGACGCACTTGTGAATACCACAAGAATGTATACACCACACCAGAAATCCAAATATGGGTGATTGACACAACCATTAATGAGCACAGTATCGCGAGGAGGAGAAACCATTCTTCCATTTGTGTTCTTCGACGACAGAATGTGTGCTGCATTATGATCAAACACCACAAGATATATACCTCTCTCGAGCATACTCATTGGCCGGTGATGTGTTGTTGTCTTTACGACACGATCAGACAAACCTCATCTACGATTCGATTCGTCAACATTGATCGATCGATTGCATTCGAAGAAATTGAATTCAAATGGATCATGCAAACAAGAACTCTTCATGTTCGGTCATTCCAAACAGAGTGGTGTTATCTCTGTCATAATTCATTTAATCCAATCACGGGCAAACCTAAAAAGCCGAACAGAAAAAAGAGACACTTACACACTGTTTGCAAAAAGAGAAGCTTGGTTTCGGCCCTGAACTTGTCGATTGATCGCTTATTGACAGTTGGCTTTTCATGAAAGAGAAGTATCTTACTATACCGAAACCTATATTAAAACAAGCAAAGACTGACTGTTGTAGTAGCGGTATTCACTTGGGTTGTTTCAACTGCCAAACGTTACTCCTCTTTGTTGTTTTGAAATTCTAATTTTCAATTCGCCAAAACAGACAAAAAACAACAAAAAGAAGAAAATATCAAATCTCTCAATTGATTGGTGATCATCAACAACAACAACAGTTCTTGTGCCATGGTGTTGATTACGTCTTGTGCTTGCAACACTGCTGAATGTCGGAATCAGCAAAATCAAAGCCTTCCTTCCAACCCGAACAACAACAACCATCCACAACAACAATCCCAACAACAACACCAGATAGGCTCTTCTTCGACTTGCTCTTCATTCACAACGGTACAGAAACAGCAACAAGAAAGGTCGCGACCCACAGAAGAGAAAGAATTTGAAGGAGCAGACTCTTCGTCATCATTAAATCCAATCCTTCCGCCATCATCAACATCACAATGCCTCAACCATCCTCAAACTGAAACTATTTATTCGTCATCATCATCGCCTCCATCCACTTCATCTTCTCCTTCAAACAGTCCACCTTCCATGAAAACCACCATCGGAACCACCAACAATACCAATACCACCCCCTCTGATGTTCTTTTAAAACAACTGCTACATAATCAAAAGATGCAGGCTCAAATAGGCTCTAAATTATCATTCCTTCCGCTTCTCTTTGGTTTGACCTTTTGTTGGGAGAGAGGTCCTCTTTTGTTTTTTATGTGCACTGTGGGAGAGTTGACGTTTCATTTCGCCTTGAATTCTCGCATGCGAAAACATGTCAAGTCTATCAAAAGTTTTGTACAATATAATTCTTTAAGATTAGTGGTGGTTGTTATATTGCAGTGGATATTGCAACTTTATTACGGTCATTCTGTTCCACTGCATGTTTTTCATACTTACAAGATTTTAATATCTGCGAATGTGTTTTACAATAATTTAAGGTGGTTTTATGTTAATACGATTTTACTTTTGGGTTCTAACTTGATTGGAATGTACGTGGCCTTCCTAACAGAACGTGACAAGATGACAGAAGAGCAAACGCGTGCCTTTTACCAGAGACTTGTCGAAGTATTTATTTTACAATACTCGGTGGTCGTTGGGTCCTATCTATTTTCTAGTGTCATGTCAAGTAAGACCGACGAAAGTACTCAACACCTAGTTGAGGTGGAGCGAGAACGTGTGAAAAACAGTGAGAAAACGAAATTCATTGCCAATTTGAGTCATGAAGCGAGAAATCCATTGCATTGCATTATGGGAAGTTTACAAGTGTTGAATCATCATTTTGAGGGAGAGAAGTGTTTGAACGGATGTAAACATTGTTTTTTGAATAATAGTGCCATCAATGAAATCATTGAAGATATTAAGGAAAATGCAACATTATTACTGCACATTTTATCATCCTCATTGCAAATGACCTCACTTGAGATGGGAAAGATCAAATTGAAACATGAACCATTCAATTTGAAATTCTTGTTAGATTCATTGATTGGTGTTTTTTCACAATTGGCTCATGAAAAACAAATTTCATTGCATTGTTTTTTCAATGTCTCAAAAGTTCCACAACTGTTGAAAGGTGATTCTGTTCGATTGAGTCAAATCATTATGAACATCATCTCGAATGCCATCAAATACACCAAGAAGGGTTACGTCAGAGTTAACTGTGATTTGGCAAATGACGAAGACTTGAAAAGTTTTGACAACCATGAAATAATGATTGACGAGCATAATGAAAACATGATACCTCAGGATCAAAAGATCTTTGTGAAACTTGAATTTATTGACACTGGTTGTGGTATTTCTCAAGAACAAATTCAGAAAATTTTTCAACCTTATCATATCATTGATGAACATCAACAAAATGAAGATTTCTCCCTGGGATTTGAGCAATACTTTAACCATTCAGAGAATATGAACAAGTTAAGCGATGGTGGAAGCAGCTTGATTAACACCAATAGAAATGGGCTTGGATTGAGTATTACAAAATTACTGATCAACAAAATGAATGGTCACATCAAGGTGAGCAGCACACTTAACGTTGGAACCAACGTTACAATTCTTCTGCCTCTCGAAAACACTCTCAATGACAGCTCAGAAGTCATTTCTGAAATATTACGAGGAGATGATGTAAAAGATATTCACGTGTTGGTGGTGGACCAAGACGAATGTTTCCAAACTGTTTTACAAAGTTATTTGAAACTTTTCACAAAGGTTCGAAAAATTGAATGCCGAACCTCGGTGGAATCTCTTGAAACTCAGCCATTGCCAGGTGGTAACATGGTGAAGGTTATTTTTGTTCCTGAGGGTGACTATTCTCGAGTGACACAATTATTTTCGAACGGAACCAAGGAGAATGATTCTGTCATCATTACCCCAACGATTTTCAAGGGGTCTCAAAGATCCTATCCCCATCTGAAATATCTCTCCAAGCCTGTGAAATTTTCTGAGATTGTAGATGTGTTGTCGAATGACAAGATGTTCTTGAAGGAGAACAATGTCACAAAGCAACCTCTAAAGGACAATCATGTGTTGGCTCCATCAAGCACGAGCTTTATGTTACCAACCAAAGACATTACGACTACATCTCCTCTTTCTTTTCAAATCTCACCAAGATTACACGACCAAGCCGCTCAACACGACACCGCTACTACTTGTGTGCGGACATTTGATTTCGCGTCGATTTCTGTGCTTATTGCAGATGATAATGCAGTGAATCGAAAAGTATTGATGAAAATGTTGCAAATCATTGGATTCAAAGATATTGACACTTCCAATGATGGAATGGAATGTTTTGAAAAGTTCAAACAAAAAGCATATCAACTCGTCTTGTTGGATTGTTACATGCCCATTCTGAGTGGACGAGAAGCGTGTGAAATGATTCGAAATTTAGAGAAACAAGGCAATTCTATCGATAAGGAATACCATCACAAGCGAGTGCCCATTATTGCCATCACAGCAAATACATGGGAACCAAGAGACACCTTGCTCTCACAAGGTTTTGATGATGTTGTTTACAAACCAGTGATTTTGGAACAATTTCGACAACTCTTACTGAAATATCTGGACCGTCAAGAATTCACAACAGCCAGCACTAAAACCAATGGCAACGACATATCCACACAGGAGAAATAAACCTTCACTGGTATACACAAACCTCTCATTGAGTCTCGTTCTTTATTTCACTAGTTAAATACCTGAATTTACTTCATCAAGACATCTTTTCTCAAACTTGACAAATATCTCAATTTACCTGAATTTACTTCATCAAGACTTGTCTGGCCTTATTTTGATCATTCGAGAAACCAAATTTGCTCACCACAGTCTCAGCGTTTTGCATACGATCATAGATTTGACCAGCAATCAATTCCAAAGCCTTCATCTTATCATTATCAAATCCAAAGCAAGAGAGAATATTGGCAGCATCGGAACAGGACATGCTAGCCACATTATTGGTCGATTTCAGTTGAGTCAAAGCCTTAATCTTATCATTATCAAAACCAAAGGCATTCAAGATGGAAACAATTTCTTGAGCATAGACTGGTCCGTGTTGAGAGGAAGAATAAGTCTGAACAGCCTTCACCTTATCACTATCAAAGGAAGCTCCTTGGACTGCTGCAAGAATTTGCTTTCCCAAATTGGAGGAACCTCCCATCATGGTACTGGTGGTAGTGGTCATAGTGGTCATATGGACCTGAGGTTGTGGTTGGTATTGTGGTTGTTGAGGAGGCATGTAGGTGTTGTTGTTGTACATCATGGTGGATGGTTGCGAAGGTGGTGGAACAGTCATTCCCACATTCATTCCCATCATGGGCATTCCCATATTCATATTCACTCCCATTCCGCCATAAGTGGTATCAAAACCAACACTCATGCCAATTCCTGGTTGTTGTTGTGGTGGTTGCATGCTAAATCCCATATTCATTTGTGGAGGTTGATTGGGTTGTTGTTGTTGTCCATTAAAGCCAAAACCGAAATTCATTTTCTCAAGAATTTTCTTGGGTGGTAATGATGATGATCCAGATAACAGCAGAAGGAAACGATCCAAAGCGATCTTTAATTGTTTTTTTGTTTGCAGTAATATTCGAAACTCACAACAACCCAATCAAACGGAGAATGTCCTCTTTTGAATTGGCGTTCAAAGATTGTAACATGCAGTAAAAGAGATTTTCATTGGTTGCGGAGGTTGCACAAGGAAGAGCCAAAGTCGCGTGTAACAGGCCAAAAACTTGTCTGAACTTTTTTCCACGGGTGGCCAACTCCTTCAGTAAAAATTGAAAAAATATTTATTGGCCCTTCGGTGTCTCAGTTTATAACACCGACCAATGTTCAATACTTGTTTCAGAGTTGAACTGTTCGACAATTACGCAAGCTGAAACCAAGATTTTCATATAGTAGATGTTTCATTCCGTCTAGTTTCATATTCTTTAGTTTGGAATTGTGAGACCTAATATACAATAAATAGCGGCCGTTAAAAAAAGGTGACACTGACTTTAGTTGAATTAAACATAAAGCCCGTGTAAAGTGCAAACAACCAACAAGAAATTCTAGAATAACAGGCCAATAAACACTCAAGGATAATCTATTTGTTCTGCACTTTTGACGGGCTTGGTGTTAATTTCAAACTCTTCCAACTAATTGTTTTTGCTTTCATTCAACAGAAATTTTTTCGAAAAGAAAAATGAAACGAAGACGTTGCTGCCTTTGCTCCAAGAACGCTTTGCGAACCGTGCCAACAAATATCACCATACTCGGAACAGAAAAGTCCAATGCAACACCTTTGCTATGCAATACACATTACAACAATATCAATAATTTTAAAAACACCCACCACATCAGCAACCCTGTTACCATTGAAATTCAAAAACAACCAAAAGGAGTGAAAGATATCATTTCAATCGTTACCGATAAATTCGGTCAATGCAAACATTCCGACAACAAGTGCTGTAGTAATTGCAAAGAAGGTAATACGCGATGTAAAGGCATCTCTTTCGAAAAAGTGAGCCATTTATTAACAGTATCGGGAATCATATCACAGCTTCGGAAGTGTGAATTTCAACCATCATGGCGAATTTTGTTTTTTTAGTGTAGACTGCAATAATTGCAATCTCAACAAATATGGAGTTTGTGAAAATGTTATGAATGCTATCAAACAAAATTACGCCATTATCAGCGAACAATTGAAAACCAAAATACCAAAACAGCTCACCTCGCTGCAAGAACACAAGAATACAAAAATGTCATCAAATCATTGAAGGCAAAAATCTCTCGACGAGATACTACAATTAAGAATTTCGAAGAATTAATTGAAGAAAAAGATCAAAAACATTATTTGGTAGAACTTCTCTCGATTGTGCTAGAGGAAGGAAAGTTACATGAAACCCAGTTCTTTTATCAATTATTAGAAAATACTTTGCAAAATTTGGTTTCGTCGAAAAATGTTAACGGTTTTCGATACAAAGAGTGTATCATTCATTGGTGTTTATTACTTCGATTTTATGGTGGTTCTCGTTTGTGGAATATTTTGAAAGGAAATTCTCCCGGTGAAACTATAACATCTGAAAACGCATTAGATAAGCTTAATCTATTACTTCCATCTATCTCAACAATTAAGAGCTATCTTCCAGACTTGTCTTTTGGTAACCTTGTCGACAGTGACTGATGTGGATTTATCATTTTTTGTATCTTCTATTCAAAGATATTACATGGAGCACATTTATGTCGTCAATGATCAACACTCTACAAGTAGTAGCAATATTTTACAATTATTAGCAAGTCATAATGTGATTTGAAAGATATTGTTAAAGCCATGGCATTGAATAATATTAGTAATAAGATCATAATTTCATATGATGAAATAGAGATTAGAGGAGGATTATGTGTGATGAAAAGTGCTGGAAAAGTAATTGGATTCACAAATTGCAATGAAAAGTCTTTTGAAGATATATATAACGCAAAAAGAGAAATTACACCAGACGATATTGCTAGTCATGTGTGCCAGTTTTTTGCAACAACTATTGACGGTGAGATGTCTTTTCCTATTTGTTTTGGTGGTCACAAATCAAACCATTATGAATTTATTACAAAGAAAATGACAGAAATTAGAGATCAATTCAAACGAACTTCTTATGGAGATTATGTTTTAGAAGTGGTTGGAGGTTGTAGTGATGGATTAGCTGGTAATTATCAATATGCAACCTCTCATACTAATGAAAATTATGTTCACCTTTTTGATTGGTCTCATTTGCTCAAACGGTTGAGAAATTGTTTATTGAAAGGGGATGATTTGATTATTGAAAAAGAGTTTTTCTATGAATACATTATTGAAGGTTAGAAATGAACCCCAATTGCGAGACTGGGTATCGGAAAATATAATTTACCCAGTCGACATTATGAAAATGGAACCTGTTTTTGCATTGATAGATTCTAATGTTATTAGTGGAATTGAACAAAGCAAGCAAATAGGATGTTGTGCATTAGCAAAATATTTAACGTTAATGCAACAAATACATCAAATTTTTGACGATGAACGATGTTCAAACTGGAATGAGAAAAAACAATTAATTGAATCTGTACTGACAACACTTAAGGAATGGAAAGATGCAAGTTCTAACATCATTAGTGACGAATTGTATTCTCATATTGTGATGACTATGACTTCACTTCGTTCTCTTTTTGAAAAATATGGAAACCATACTCAAATTAAGGCTTGTGGAATTTCGACATTAATTGTTGAACATTTTTTTTCCTTAATACGAGGAAAAATACGATACCCTAATTTTCGAGATTATTGTGGGATCTATCGAGCCGTATGGATTGCTTTGAAGACGAAATTGGTAAAAAAATTCTCCAATTAATGTCAATCAACAATCAACCACAAAGTGTTATGGAAATTGTAACATAAGCTTAGACTATTCTGAATTACATCGAAAACACTATGTAAAGAAACACATTCTTCAAGAAGACGATGAGGACACTTTGTTAGAGAAAGATCAAACTATTTCTGTTTGGATTTTAAAGTTTTTGCCAAAGAATTTTTCGGAAAGTTTTCTGAATTTAATCATGACAATATTGTCTTTGTTGATTCTCTCCGATTAATGAAATCAGAATCGACTTTACAACAATTGTCTTCCTCGGAAAATGACAAAGAAAGGGAAATCTAAACCAGTTTTTGCTGAGGATGTATTAATTGAACACTTTAATTTAGGAAATGTCAACAATTCACATTGTGCATTTTATGATGCTATTGGATTGCTTAATATTTTGATCAAGTTTTATGGTAATCTCGACGATGCATTGAAAGCTATCGAGTGCTTCAATACCAACCAACTTAAAAGGAAAAGAGAGAAAATTAATGACAATAATGATGATGAACACAAAGCAAAGAAGAAAGTTGGATGTAGATGTAAAAAAGGAAATTGTTTGAATTGTAATTGTGCCAAGATTGGAAGAATATGTGATGCAACTTGTGGGTGCAATTCAGAAATTTGCAAACGGAGACAGTGCCAAGTTTGTTCCAACTACACGGAACTAATATTGTGTTCCTGTTGTTCTGATATTGTTTGTGAGCGATGTTCTTACAATGGAGAATGTCAACGATGTTCGATATTCATAGTTTATCATTGCAAATGTTGTCACAGACTAACCAATGCCGTTTCTAAATGCCTTCAATGTCAAAATTCAACATGTTGCAAATGTTACTATGATAGCCTTTGTAAGATCTGCCATCCAAACATGCCAACATTGCTGTGCAATTCATGCCACAAGCCTTGTTTATCACTAACTCCATGCAAGGATTGTGGCTTGAAAGTATGTAATGACTGTTTGAGAGAGATGGTGTCGATCATGTGATTGTGATGAGCGGGAATGGTTGTCTTCAACTCAGTCACAATTCCAGTCCTCCATGGACGTGACAAATTTTTAAGAAGTAGCTACCATGGCTCTTGTAATGCCAATTCAACATATTGACGCACCAATAGTGATGTGGTGTTTCCTTTATGTGTCAGAAACAACCAATTGCATTGGCAGGTTTTGATGGATTGAAACCATCATAAAATCATCCTATGATCGTTGTGTTATTAAAATTCCCAGCGAAAAGTTTTCTCGTAGCTTGAGGTGTTCACGAAAAAATACGCTCGAGTTGTCCACCCGTGCTTTTTTCCAATCGTATGACAACCAATGCCATAATGGATGGTAAAATTTCAACCAATCTACATTGATGACGAGGTGGTGTTAACATGTCCAATGGGAGTCCACTCACTCGAAAGAATCTTCTTCCAGATTCATTCGAATTTGATAATTTTCGCAATCTTCTTGTTGTTGGCCTTACTACTAGATCATTAAGGTAACAAAAAAAGAGATGAAATCGCAAACAGAACAGAGAGATGACCTCTGTCCATCCAGGAACACCCATCATCCTTTTTTAGAAGAATTTCGCTCCTACATGTCTTTTAAAAGCAAGCGCCAAAAAAAATGGGAAATCAACTGGCTCATCGTTTCTCCTCATCTCGGAATGAGAGTGGTGCCGTTGATGGCAACACTACTACCACTGGTTCTCATCAGCAGCAGCAGCAGCAGCGTGTGGATGCGGCCATATATAGTTCTTCTTCCTCCTCTCCTTCTTCTCATCATCTCTTTGGAATGAGGATCATTTCGGAATCCAACCACACTCAGGAGAATGCAGCAGACTTTCTCAAGTTACGGAAACGGAGTAACAGTACAAATTCAAATTCATACCGAAAGAATACGAGTAACAACAAACCATCAACAACGACAACACCATCGACGCCATCCTCTCGGAATAATGCTGGAAACCAGGAGAATGGATTGTTGTTGAATAATAATAACCCGAAAGTCATTGTGGAAGAGCCGAGCGGAAATACCCAATCATCAACTAGTGTTGCATCGAGTCAATCAGTGGGCATATTACCTCCTTACCGTGGTCATCACCGAAAGACTTCTAGCCAACCACCACCTTTATCACTACTTTTGAGTACGACGAATACTTCCTCTCCACAAAACCATAATTATTTATTGTACAATTATACGCTGGCTTCATCGGCTCCTGCTAGTCCGATACTGAATAATTATTCCCTGTCACCAATTAGTAATAATGGAGGAGCCATGTCGACAACATCGTCACCTTCGAGTAGAGATTCAAATTTCGTTTCTTCAAGTGCATTTAGTAATGCAGGATATGATTCACACAGTGCTGGTGACAATAATGGATTCACACCACAACAACGAGTGGTCCATGAGAAACTAAGACAAATTTTTCCTTCCATGAAAAACGTTCCCGATTATTTTCTTTCATACTTTTCGATTGTTCTTTCAGATGAAGTAGCATTGCGAGACACGATTTTTTCAAGTGGAAATGATATTTCATTCTATTTAGAGATGCAATCAAAAATTGAGGACTTGTTTTTGAACGAAGAAGAAGAAAAAAACTATGGCAAGTCACCAGTTGGAGCTCAAAATTTGGTTTCCACACCTTCCTCTTCCTACACAAAATCGCCAATCATGCACAATTCTCATCATCAACAAAGCAGTATGGACAGTAATAGTTGGGGAATGCAAACGACTGAAGATGGTGATGTGAGCTATTCCAATAATTATTCAATGGGCTATCTTACCAATTCTGAGGACTTTAATGAAAATATTACAGCAGTTGGAGATATTGCCCATTTAGGAAATAGTGAAGTTTCATCCTCAATTATTAATTATCAGAGAGATTTTTTAAATCCTTTTCACATTATGGATCGAACGGAATTACCAATTCGATTTCTCATTTTACCTCGAATTTTAAAGAATGCCTTTTATGCAAAGCACGAAGTTGCGCAAATGGTATCACCAATATTTTCTAACAGAAATAGTTTGCATTTTAGAGATGCATTTATACAATCGAACGAGTTTGTGATATTTGCTGTGGTTGGATTTTGGGTCCTAGAATTTTTACCTTCCTCTAGCATTATCGTTCCAAAATTAATTTATGCTTCCTCCGAGCTCTTTTCAAATATTCAAAGCATTCCTGTGGTTGCAACCATCAATAATTCTGATGGTTCGGCCATGAATGTTGTTGCAAATACCATCATTCGATGGAATACTGGAAAGAAAAATCCAGATCTAAGTTATATGAATTTTGTTGACGATTTGTTGGAATCTCTTTCTGTAAATTTCAAGTGGAAAAACAATCCTACACTGATGAATTTTAGAAATCAAATCTACAACCTAGAATGGCAGATTCCTAGCCACTATAATTTATTGAAAATTCCTACGTTTACCAACTCGTCTGTCGTTAGAATGAAAAATTTGGAAGATTTTGAAATGGTCATTCCAAAACTAATGCTCACAATGAGCAATGAGATGATTATTTCAAAAGGAACTTGTGATTATTTGTCATGTATTCAAAAATCATTTAGCGAAGATTATTTCATTCTGAGTACAATTAGGTCTGCATTAGTCTTGAAGGAGTTTGTAATTCAGTAATTCTGAATCCTTGCTGGTCGATAAAAATGTAAACTATTAAGCTCAGCCGAAAAATCGAGATGTGAAATGTGTCTAGCTGAATTCGCGAGTTTGTTGTCTTTTCCATGAATAGGATACATCAATCATTTTTTGTCTTTTTCTTCACGATTACTGCTCGTGTTTGTGTGACTGTTTCCTGTTTTTAGAGTTTTGAATGTTTGAAGCATCTGATTTGGGGTGATTTTTTCGTTTTTGACCCTTTTTTCTCTTTTGGAGCTCGTTATTTGATCTGTTCGTTTGTTCTGAAGGGGTAGAGGATGTATTCGGTGATTTCTGTGTTTGTCTGAAATTCAATTTCTTTTTTTGCTGATTAGTTGACCAAGAGTATTCGCTATTGTCTTGCGTGAATTTCTTTTGAAATGTAGATCGAGACTTGTTGTTGTGATGAAATTTGTTCTGCATGAAATTACGTTTTTGTGGTTTCAAGTCCTTTCTAGATTCAGGCATTTCAAAAAGCATACTTGCCAGAGTGCTGTATTTCCACTCTCCTAGAGTTGTTTTGCGAAATGTTTTCTCATCTTCTTGGTCAGAAATGACTATATTATTCGAATTAACATATTTGGTTTCATCATGTTCATGTGGTTGACAATGACACTTCTCAATGATCGAGCAATCTTGTTGATCCATAAATGTGTTAAATGGAAGAGATAAATTTGGAGCTACTTGAATATTGAGGGGATTTTTGAGAATGGATCCTACTTTGGTATTGCAATTTTTACAATATAATCTTAATAATTTTCCCGCATCTCGTTCTCGTTTGGTGAGATCTTTCATTTGAGATAGTTCAGCTTCTTCAATCTTTTTACAAATAAATTCTTGTTCTAGTGGTGACGTATCAATGGAACATAATGTTGGAATGATGGCATTTTCTTCCTCTTGTTGTTCATTGCCGTCTTCATCCTCTTGTTCGTCTTTCATTTGCGAATCGTTTCTAGTATTCACATGAAATCGTGGCATGAAAGCAACATTTCTTCTCCTATTGTCATTATCTAATTTCAATACTCCAAAAGTAAATGGATGTTTTACAAATCGTTCAGGAAATTCCTCGCATTCTTGTTCGGGAATTCTCGACGAAGGTAAAAATGTTGCAAATAAATAATTACATTTCGAGCATACCATCAAGAATGAATGTTTCGAGAGTAAATGGTCGTGGACTCTTGATCCGCTGAGTGTTGTCTGTGATCCTTCTTGTGGCAGTTGTTCCGTTTTCAGAGGATGAGAATCGACAGAAGAAATGGCGAATGGTTGATTGGATGGAATGAATGTTTCATAAGAATTTAGATGAGAATCTTCAACAATTTCATTTTCAGTGATTACACGATGAGTAATTACGATTTTTCCATCATCATCTTTGTTTAATTTTGTTTCATCATTCAATGATGATAGGTTCGGAACAATGGATGAGGTATCATGATCCTCTTGCAAATCCAATGGCAAAGATAATGTAGATAAATTCGTACGTAATTGATGTTCATTGGTGGGTATTGTTGTTGTTGTTGTTGTTTGAATCCAACCATGTTCATAGGAAGCTTCCTCTTCATGAATTTTCTGCTCCAAGTGTTGGTGTTGGTGGTAACGATGAGGATGAGAATGTATTGGCCAATCATGAGAAGTGAATGTATTCGACAAGTAGGAGAAATATAAATACACTCCACTCATTCCGAGAATGATGATGATTGAAAATATTCCCACCCACAACGTGTGTGTGGATGAAGAAGATTCAAAAAGGCTTTGCATCATCTCCTTAAAATAGAAATGCATTTTTTTTCTTGAACCTTTTTGTGATATTGAGACAATAAATTAATCACTTTAATGGACATATCATTGTTGAACACAATGAAATTATCGGATTTGCTTATGGACACGATGAAATTATAGGATTTGATAAATGAATCTTATTGATAAATAATGATGGCAGATTGAGCGGCATATTGCAACAGATCGTGTTCAGCTTGACCGAGTCCAAAAGATGTCTCCAAGCTTGCACACAACATCACATTGAGGCCTTTTGGTTTGAAAATGTATAACACATGATCCACTTGAGCAAATCCAATCCTTTTCAGGAAGGAATAATGATAACGGGAAACAGAATCAAATGCAATTCCAAAATTTGATGTCACATCCTGGTTTTTTTCCAAGGTCGTCACACCATTCATTGCTTCTGCCGATAATTTATGAAGAACCATAGTTTCATAAAGACTCTTCGTTAAATTAAAATCTTCATCTGTTTTTGAACAGACTTTTTGGTAAACTATTGATAAAATTTCAACATGTTCTGTATCGGATCCTAAACATCGATCCGACCAAAAATCAGCTTCGTAGTGTGTATGAGAGCTCTTATTTACAGTTTGAATTTTCTGAATGTGTGACCATACAATTGATTTAAAACATTTGTTAATGCAACAAGTAGACACACAAATACTTACCTTTGGCTTCCAGTGTGGAGGGAGGAAAATCGTAAAGTTTTTGCTTACAGAATGTTTGACCCAATCCTTGATATGTTCATGAATGTCTAATGATGGAATCTGATTGACGTCACTGAGCGAACCTGTAGAAACAGTCTGGCTGTTAATCTTACTTGTGGCATTCCACTGAGAAAGTTCAATCCGTTCAGGGCAATTAGAATCCTCCAGAAAATGTGCAACAGCAAAATGCTCATCTCTCTCTATTCGAATAATGACTTCCAAATATCCCACAATTTTTTCTTCCTCTTGTGACGGGAAATTTGGAGTGTTATTTGTTGAGCTATGATTGCTATTTGGAGAGCCAGCGGATTGATGATCAGCATCATCAGAATCGTCATGAGAATCTAAATCAGATTGGCTCGAGGAAACAGACGTCATTCCATTCTTACCCTTCTTGGAAGAAGAAACAGTTCTCATATTCACTTTCACTGTTTTGTCGTTATTGATAGCTAGCAAGTCGTCACCATCAATTAAGAGAGATCCTTCTGCAAGCTTTTTCTGTTTCGATAAAATCAGAATAATAACATAAAAACGTCGTCACAAGTATGTTTCCCGCAAATTTCATGCAATACTTACATCCTTTCTGAAAGATCTTGCCTCCATGAGAGTAAACCAAAATTTGAGTTGATGCAATGTCAATTCGATTTCTGGAAACACAAAATCTTGATTCCATTGATAAAGAAATTCTGTAAAATCATCACCATGTTGCTCGTCTATAATTTGAGATTGAGAGACGGTACGTGTCATTTCCATGTCATATAAATTTTCTGTACTGTTTGGATTAGATAAAGCATAAAATTTTGTATCATCGGCCGAACTGGAGTCCTCTTCGCTATGATTCGAAGAGGTCACCACAGAGGAAACATTCTCATTCCCCAAGTCCTCACAGAAATTTTTCATTAAAAACGTTCCCCTACTTTTCACTCGTTTCATTGTATGCTTTTTGGTACATTCTCCTTTTTGAGAGCTACTTCCAGCTTGTTGTATCATGACATAGGTTTTTCGATGATCCAATCGTTCCAAACATCCGAGAGAGGGAGATGGATGAATCTGTGATTGAGAAGAAACATGAGGTAATTCCGATGATAAATGATCCAACATTGCTGTTGTTGATAAATGATGGAAATTATGGTTGGAATTATTGGTACGAGGTGAGGCTGGTGTGTTCAGAGTGGCACTCGTTGAAGCATCAGCAACTGTTGTCATGAGCAACTCATCAAGCTTGGCAATGAAGTGTCCACTCAATACTCGTATTTTGATACGATCTCCTTTCGTGAAAACCATCGTGATGAATGTTGTTGTTCTTGTTGTTTCCAAGAGATGTTGAAAGTTGATGAAGAGTGTTCGGGTTGATGATGAAACGTCGTCGTCGTCGTTGTATCCAACAACCGTTCTCAGCGAGTGAGGTGATGGTGCAGAAAAGTAGCACTTCTTTTTTTTCTTTTGAATCAGACGAATTGGTTTATGAGCGCATGAATGGAGGTTTTAAGTCGGTGAAATGGACCGTCAAAATATTCGCAGCGAAAAATTAACCTTAAATACCCGTGAAAAGCGTGAGCGTGAAAAAGTGGGCACCACTGTCGGACCTGAGGTTTACAACAATTGAATTGCAGGCTTCTCATCAATAAAGAGCGAGTAATTTACATAATTTTGGAATCTTTATTCGTTTCAAGAAACAACAATGATCCACTATGAATGTTCACTTTAAAAGAAAAAAATGAATTCTCATAATATTCGAGTCTTTCAATCGCAAGATATTTTGTGTCCGAGTGAGTTGGGTCAACCTCTTTGCAGTGCTGCTAGTGAAGGCTTATTTTGGGTGGCTTTTAGTGGAATTATCAAAGGATATGCTACTCAGACCACTCAAAAGGAATTTCAGTGCATGTATGAATTTCAGCCTTTGTGGTCCGAAGTGGATGCGATTCATTACTTGCCAGATATTCGGAGAGTCATCACAGTCGAACGAAGACTGACCACTGTTATGATGGGGAGTGGTGCTGGTGGACAACAACAACAGCAAGCAACAACACCCACCACACCATCCACTCATCATCAACGAGGAGGAAGTGGGATCAACAACCAAAATATTTCAAACACACCAAGATCACCAGCATTATCAAATGATTTTTCCAATGCTTTAAAATCTTTTTCATCAACGTCTGTTGCAACATCCAGTAATTATAATCAAAACACACAAACAATTGTCGAACAATGTTGTAGAATTTATCGATTTGAATACGATAAAAAGGAGCGAAAGACCATCATTTATCCATTTTCACTTCCGATTCAAAATTTTGTCTCTACCAATAGCACAACCACGACCACAACATTAACTCAAGCAGCGACTTCAGGTACTGCTTCAAATAGCGAGTTATTAATTTCTGTTTGCACCTATAGTAATCAATTGTTGACATGTGCAAAAGATGTTATTTCACTGTGGAAATTTACCAATAACAATGATACCCCAATTTGCATCTTAAAAGTACACACGTCATGGAATGTGAAATGTATTTCTGTATTTAACCAGTTTATTGGATATGGTACAGACAGAGATGTGAGAGTCATTGAACTCAAGCAAAAAGAACTGGAGCAAGAAAAAACACTGTTGGAAAACTCTCAAGATGATGATATCAATGTAAATAATGGAGGAAGTACTAACGGAGAAGAGACAGATGCAGCACAACCTAATTCTGTAAATATAGGAGGTAGTGTCTCTCCCAACACCTCAGATCATAGCGAGACTCAGAAAAAGAAAACCTCACGCTTTAAGGAAATTCAAAAGAGAATTCAAGCTCATGTCCAAGAACAAATTGTTGGGACAAATGCTGAGAGCCCACAATCACAAATATCACAAGGAGGAATTATTACACGTCACCAATCATTAAATCCTCTCAACAAAGGAATGGCCATGTACTGGGGCGTAAGTCAGCTTCATGAATCTATTGATGAAATTCAAATACGATTCGATATGGGAACCAAAGATTTATTACCTTCTCCTGCCACTCAGAGCTATAGTGAGTCTGTTCGTGTGAGTGACAAGACCAGTACGAAGAAGGGTACTCAACAATCTGCAACCAACATTGCTTATGATATATTTGGGCAAACTCCAACAGTGGATCATCCTGCATTTGCGAATCATAATTATATGTAAGTACAAGAAATATTATTAACATTTATTGAAACTATATTTAAACAACTACATCTCCTACCAAACATGCATTTCATTCAATCACAGTGATATTTGTGTAAATCTGCTTCACAAACATTTTACATCTGATGAAAGTCCTCGTTCCATTCATTTTCTTCAAAACATTTCACAAAAGAAAGATTTCAACCAAAACACAGGAATGAAGTGCATATTAAGCACATCAACATGTGGATACGTTTACAGTTTGTCAAGTCCTCAATCACTGCTTTGCGAATTCGAATATACCGGAGAATGTCTAATGAGTGCTGTAAATTCTCTATTTCTCTATGCCATTACTCCAGTAGGTTTGGAGGTGTGGAGTGTCTTGGGAGGTAGTAATGGGTGCTTGCTTCGTTTTCATCCGTTTATTGGATTGAAGAGCGTTTCAGCAACTAATAACCATGTCGTTCTCATCTCCAAGATAAGTAGCAACGAGAATGTTTCCATTGCAGCCTACTACAACCAACAAACAGATAAGACTGTGCTCATATCAGATATGAGAAGCGTTGAGAAGGTGAATCGAAATGCTTCGCCCTCCAAAGATTCCTCAAGAAGTGGAAGACTGTTTCCAATTTTCAATGCAAGGAAAAAAAGAGAAGATAGTTCCTCTTCATTGCCTCCAGTCGAGGATTTTTCATATAATATTTACATGCTTAATGCAGTGGAGTTGAGTGACATTTATGAAGATATGCTTGAGCATGCAATGATGTTTCAAAAAAGTGACAAATCAACCTACATGAAACTGCTAAAAGAATCGCACAGTCTTTTACAATCCAAATATTTTGAATTATTATCCAAGGAAAAGAAATTAGAAAGGTCTATCGATGTTGATACTATCACCTTGTTAAAGACAAAAATTGAGCTTCAAAATTATACGACGCTTTTGAAAAGATCCTTTGGCCTTCAAGGGGATGCTTATGTGGCCATGGAAAATACTGATTTGGCTGCTTATGCATATGCAAATAGTGACAAACCTATGGCAGATATTTTCAACAAACTTTCTGTGAGAGAAGAATCATTGCTGTTATTTTTAGAGCATATTTTGTTTGATAAGGAGAATCACTGGTCATTAGACAACCTTTCAGAAGATTTAGGAAATCAAATTCTTACTATTTACAAACAACGAATTCCTCACACGTTATCTACTGTGATATTGGCTAACAGTTTCCCTTACTCAAAGAATCATGCTCTAGCTCTATTGGAAGAAATTAATTTAGAATATGTGAAAGCTCAACAATTAACATTGTCACGATTTGAAGAACACTCGATTGAAAAGAATGATATATATCCACAACAAAATGAACAAGTCCTGTCCTGGTTTGAAATTATGCCTAAGGACGCCATGGTACTCGCATTACTTCATCTGCAAACTGGTAACGAGGAAAAAGCTGTTGCAATTTTCAAGTCCGTGGAAAGCCATATTCTTGTAGAATTTATAGTTTTAAATCCATCATTGCTGTTACCAAATGCCACCGTTGAAAAATATTCCAAGTTGGCCATTGTGTTCAGAAAGTATTTCCCTTGGTGTCTTGTTGAATCCATAAATCGACTAACAGCAAGCAATTCGTGCCCTTTAAGCAATAACCAAGTATTGGACTTACTGAAAGAAGATAATTCGCAAATTTTTGACCATGTAGAGACGCCCTTAACTTCTCTTCTTATGCAACAAACGTATCTTTCCACATGTTTAATTTCCAGTGACCTATCCAATGAATCCATGCTTAAAGAGATTGGAATCAAACTCATGCAAGTTTTTGTAGAAGAGCTCGTACATATTACCTCTCTTCTGAAAGAAACAAATATCAACGGTTTGGTCAATGAAACCAAGAAGAAAGTGTTGGAGTTGCACTCGCCAACCATGACCTCTTCCACTCAGTCCCCAATAGTCATTAGTGATTCGGGTGAAAGGTTGCAACCTCAAACCCAAAATTTATTCTCTTACATGGAGAATCTGAATGAATTGAGACAATATTGCTCATTCCTTCATTACTCGTTAATACCGTTTAGAGAAAATCTAGATTGGCTTCGAAAATTTGTGAATTACGAATTTAACAGAAATCAAACAGAGTTGAGTATTCTCTCCGAGTCGAAAGACATCTTATCAGAGAAGTATAGTGAAATTCTGAATATTTTGGACGAACTTTCCATTTATGAAAGCACTTTACTTTCCATCACTGAAAATGATCCCTTATTCCTATTAGTTCACATCTTGCAAAATGCACAAGGATTAATCTGCTATTTTTCTCAATTCCTGTCGACCAATAGAACTGAAATATTTTCTCAATTTGTTGAAGTCATTCAGATCCATGAAGGGAAATTTATTGGCTTCGATAATTTAAAATTACTTTGCATGATGGGCTCCAAGCAATTTAAACAAGCCATTGAACGGTTATTGATCCTATTGGGTCACGGAAAACAAGAAGATGATGCTCTTGGTGTATTATTTGGATTCATTGAAAGTCGCTGTAGCACTCTCAATGATTGGAAAGATGTTTTGGATTTGATCTTTTCACATTTGAGAGGGCATGAACAAGCCAATCATGATGCTTCTCATTCTGTGTCACCTATGTTTTTGTATTCACTTCTCGATAGAATTTTGAAACTTTTAGCTCATTCATGCACGCCAGATGATTTCCTTCCTCTCATTCCACGGAACGGAAGCATGAACTTTTTCTATCGCTATATTCAAATGTGCTTTTCTCACTTTTCCTTATTGACATCTCCATTCAACCACAACACCACCTACTTGACATCTTCTACCAATTCTCCGTTTGAAATTTTGTGAATGAACTCTATATTGCACATTTGAAGAAATATGTTTATATTTTTTTACTTTTTTAAACTCATCACCCACTCACCAAATTGCGACAGAATTGTCTCTACCTCTGACAATAAGGGAGAAATTGAATGAACACCTAATTTGGACCATGAAACAATTTTGCGTCTCAAACAAAAATTTCAAAAAAAGATGTTGGCTAGTGGTAAGAACAACCACAATAACAATCACTCCACACAATTATCACCAGCAAATATGTCGAGTATGCACACTAGTCATTCCTCGCAAAAGATCAATAATCGGGATTTGTTGAATTCGAACGATCAACAACAACAACAACATTCGGTTGATCACTCACATCATCATCATCATCACAGTGGTGGTCTTCATAAACATTCTCGTTCTTCCTCGAGGGATATGATGTCCGAAGTGGAGGAAGGATCCAAACGGAATAATGGTGGAACGATCATTGATAGTTTTTCGTCCTCCCTTTCAATTCCATCCATGATGCCCAATCTAAATGGTGTCACAGCAACAACCTTAGAAAATCACCTCCCTCAACGATTGAAGCTTTCACCCAACTCAGTCTATGTCACTGGTTGTAATGATCATTATCAATTAGGAACGATGGATAATGAAAAGAGATTCGTTTTGTGAAATGAGCTGCGGTGTGAAGAGAGGTTCTTCTCAAAAGTCCTTGGAAAAACCAAAATCATCTTCAATCGTTAGCAGCTGTTTTCTCTCGCAAGACGACAAAATCAAACGAATCAAGTGTGGACAAGACTTTACAGTTTTCCTCACACAGAAAAATCAGGTATTTGTGTTGGGTTCTAACACCAATGGTCAAATTGGACTTGCAAAAGATATACATCACGTCAAAACACCAGCAAGGCTCACTGCTTTTGATGAAATGGAGGTATTGAGTTTGTCAAGAAGCAGCTCATTAAGTGTTGCTGGTGGTCAAGAAGACACTTCAGGCTCCAGCGCTGCTTCTACCGTTCAATTGGATGACTCTGAGGAACTACTGCAAAAGTCCACATCCTCTTCTTCGTCAAATTCCGAGTACGGAGAAGGTCAAATCGCAAATGTATATTGTGGTGCTGAATTTACCATTTTCTTGATGCGAGATGGAAGAGTGTACGGTACAGGATCGAATATTTCTGGACAATTAGTAAGTGTTGTGATTGATTTCAAGTGTTTCATCCATATTGATATATCTTTGATAGGGCAAACCAATTTCAGCTTCATTAGAAAATAATGCAAACATTTTCTTTGAACCTGTTCCTTTAACGATGACCACTCCTCCACCAGCTGGTACGGCAACTGCTATCGTTGCTGCATCACACAACAATGGTGCGAGTGGATTTAATGCCACCAACACCACAACTCCCTCAGCAACTGTTGAATTATCTGGCATTTCCAAAGTAGCTGTTGGAAGGACTCACTCCATATTCATCACAGAAGACGGTCATGTTTATGCTTGTGGGTACGTACTGATAACATTTTAAAAGTTGTTTTTTTTAAACTTTTACAAATTTTTGTAGATTGAATGAAATGGGGCAATTAGGTCTTGGTACCAGATCCAGAAATGAGCCGTACATTCAATTAATTCAGGAATTGAATGATTTTGAAATTAGAAAAGCTGCTTGTGGAGCTGAACATTCCTTGTTTCTAACTACGACAGGAGACCTTTACGCCACAGGATCAAATCAATTCGGGCAACTTGGCATTTCTAATCCTCAGGTACATTTTAAACAAAGTCCAGTGTTGGTATGTCAGACAGATAGCGATGTGACAGAATTCAACAAACAAAATGCCTCAAATTCCGATGCAACCACCAAGAATGATCCAGAGGCCACCACATCGACTAGTTCTGTAACAAGCAAACAGAACAATAAGACAGCCATTGATCAATCCAAGAACGCGAAGAACCAAAACGGTATTCCAGAATTGCCAAGCGGAAACAAATCTTTACTTGGAAGTGTCAAGAAAATCAAATGTGGCCTCTATCATTCGGTCATTATGAACAAACACTTTGACATTTTTGTTTTTGGATGTAATAATGAAGGACAATGCGGATTGCCATTTGCATCAACAACAGAACGAAAATTAACCACAACTAGAAACATTTACACACCCACAAAATTGGTGATCATGGAAGCTGGTTTGGACTATGTTGATCGAATTCGTTGTGGATACAAACATACCACCTTTTTAACTCATCGATATGACATCTATCAATGTGGAAGCAATGAGCTAGGCCAATTAGGATTGCCAGACGATGAAGAAGCAATTTATGTAAGCACACCCACAAAGGTCACCTTGATCAATGACACCAATATTCCAATCAATGCCACCAGTGGACCCTATTCAACCATTCTCTTCACTGGTGACGATAGCAAACCAAAATTCTCCATTTTTAAGCAATTGAAGCAAAACCATGCTGCTAGAGATCGAGTGTTCCAAACCAACATGTATGCCTTCATGCCACTTGTTCGACTGGTCTCACCCTTCTTAGAGTCCATGCTTAAAAATTCTGAATTTATGGGAAAGCTTGATGCAAATGACCAATTATACATGCAACGAATGATTAACACGTGTTATGACCGATCTGAGATTGCTTTCGTTAGAGAGATGGATTGTAAGGCAGTTGTTAAACTTTTGAGATGGCTTCATGACTACAATTCTGTTGATGAGACGGTTGTCCAATTACGAAAAAAGCTCTATGAGCGTTTTGAGGAAAACACTCAAATATAACAACATTTTAGACATTTTGGAAATTATTGAAATGAAATTGGAACAATGTAACAACAAGGACAAAGGCGTCCTAACGACATGTAGAGCCAAATGTTATGCCATACTTCATGAATTGAACGAAAAGTTGCTTGAAAACTCAGTTGCAAAAACTGACGAAATTGAGGCCATCACAAGTGACATTCGATTCGAACTTTTCCTCAAGCAAGTACCAGAGTGGAATAAGCGATCGAATACCATCACATGGAATGAGGAAAGAAGAAGACAATCCCGTGTTGGAATTGATATTTGTAATCCTTTACAACATCTCTATGATGATCCTTTTGGTGACATTATTCTCTTTCTCGATAAGGCACATACGAAGAAAATCAAAGCTCACAAAACCATCCTTAGTTGCGCGAGTGCTTACTTGGCTCATCGAATCGAAAGGGAGGAACAAGCTACTTCCCCTCGTTCGAGCGGCTATCCCATGACTATGGACATGTATGACGCCACTTGTTCTTCAGATCAAATCAATAATAATAATAATGAGAAAGAGCAAGCCATTAGAATTGAAGCCCTAGAATGCACTATCAAGTACATGTATGATGCCTTGGATCAATCCTCACAAATCACTCAATTACTGGTTCCTATTATGGAAATTGCATGGAAATTCCAAATGAAAAACCTTCAAGATTATTGTCTCTCCTCACTCGATGCTAATCTGTGCGTGGATAACTTTGTGTCAGTTCTCAAATGGGCAAATCCTTATCGAAACAGTCAACCTTTAAAACCAATAATTTCAAAGATTATTTCATTTGGAGCCAATAATTGGGAAAAAATCATTTCACATTTCAAGGAAGATCAAGATTGGCAAGATGTTTCTCCAGCGTTGATCATTCGAATTAATCGACAATGGATGCAAAATCAAGAGCGGTTTATTTCTAACACCACTACCAACTCAACAAACAATATTCCTTCCTTGCATTTGGTGCATCATCACCATCATCACCACAATCAACATCATCACAATAATCAACAACATTCCAGTCAGTCCTCTCTGAAAAGAAAGTAAAAACATGTTTGAAGATCCTAAGATGATATCATTTTGTGTTTATTAAATCCTTAGACTTCACACTACTATTTTCAACAACCCAGCAACAGACCACAACAATCTGATCTCACAAATTGTTGACAACAAATCAAGCATGCTTGGATATCAGAAAGAGCAACCTTCTTTCCTCTTCATGTGAGCTTTAAACAAGTCAATGCGCATTACTTGACCTGAATGGTCAAGGGATGATCGTTACCTGCAAAACAGGACTCCATCGCACATTCCATTCCAATGAAATCAGGAAGACCGGTGTCCATACCGTTCAACGTAAATCTGTACAAACCGTACACAATTGTCACATTCGGTCGAAGATGATGGGTTCAACTTGTTCTTGATTTCCTTTCAGTATGGGTCGGCAGTTCCGCAACAAATCGACCCACCGAACACCACCAATTTTGATTCGGAATATAACAATTCTTTTTACGACCACCACCACAAAAAAGAATCTCCCAACTGATCAATCCTCTTCTCGTGACAACACCCTCTTCGCTACCACTCATGTCCAATTACATGAAAACCAACAATCACTTGGACTATGAAAGTTGTCAACAACATCCATCAAACAACGAATGGTCATGACTGTACAACAAACTCAAATGACATTAGTAATAGTATACCTTCTTCACCAAATCGCAACAACTGTCATTTCAGTTGTCGAAGCGGTGGTCAGAATCAATGTCATGACTCGCATGATGATGTTTCAACAAGCACAAAATCATTAGCAATCACTTCACCACGCAATCATCCTCATTCATCCAAACAAAAGTCGGTTAAGAAAAGATCTTCTTCTTCGCCGAATATTGGCCAAAGTGAAAACTCTCAAAAGACCATCATGATGAATCAACATTCCTTTCAACAAAATGTTACTCCTCTCTGTATTGATAAGGAATTCTTGAATCATGTGTTAAAGAAACGAGGCAATGACAATTCATGGTTTTTGGTGCTTTGTGTCCTTCCTCAACTTGTGGCTCTCACGACACCGAACGACCATGTTCTACTTTTTTGGTAATTTCCATTTAGAATTAGTGTGTCAGGCCATGCTTGGCTCTCTCAAAATCTCGACACTGAAAGGATTAATTTATTCCAATGTGGTACGAGTCGCATTGATGGTTATGACCATGTTTTTCGTTCAAATGTATTATGGACCTCTATTTCCTTATCATCTCGTATCGACCTTTAAGATTTTACTTCTCTCGCGTCACATCTTTTTCAGACTCTCTCTGATGGCCCTCTGTGGTGGACTTGTGGTATTGTGTTCGTGTGTATCCCTTTTCTGTTCGTACCTGTTGGAGAGACATGAAATGGGAGAGAATGAAAACTGCCTTTTGTTACCGAGTGTTTGAGGTCTTTGTTTTACAATATGGAGTTCTCGTGGGTGCCTATTTATTTTCCAATGCTCTCATATCAGCCAATCTCGAATATACTCGACAACAAGTAGACGCAACACAAGCTCGTGTGAAAAATAGTGAAAAAACGAAATTTATTGCCAATTTGAGTCATGAAGCGAGAAATCCACTGCATTGCATTATGGGAAGTTTACAAATTTTGAATCATCATTTTGAGGGTGAGACATGTAGTGGTGCCTGTAAACACTGTTTCTTTAACAATTCTGCCATTAGTGAAATCATTGGAGATATTAATGAAAATGCATCTCTTCTTCTTCATATTCTTTCATCGTCGTTACAAATGAGTTCTCTCGAGATGGGAAAGATCAAACCTAAGAGTGAAGTCTTTAATTTGAAGTTCTTGTTGGACTCTCTGGTGGGTGTCTTTGCTCAATTGGCTCATGAGAAAAACATTTCTCTTCATTCGTTTTTTAATGTGGCACAAGTTCCTCAATTTTTCAAAGGTGACTCTGTACGATTGATTCAAGTCATTATGAACATTATTTCCAATGCAGTGAAATATACCAAACATGGTTATGTGCGAGTGAATTGTAATTTAGCAAACGAACAAGATTTGAAAGATTTTTATGAGAGAGAAGAGAACATTTTTAACATGTGTCAAGGCTTGTCGAATTCAACAAGTTCACCATTCACATTTGTCAAACTAGAGTTTATTGACACAGGCTGTGGAATTTCACCACAAGAAATTGACAATTTGTTCCAACCTTATCGAATTGTTGAACAAAAAAGTGATGATCATAATTTCACTTGGATTTGAACAATATCTCAAACAATCAGAAAATATGAAATTCAACGATGGAGGAAGTAGTCTCATTCTCAACACGAGTAGAAATGGACTTGGTTTGTGCATTACCAAGTTATTGATTGACAAGATGAATGGAAAAATTCATGTCGAAAGTGCTCTAAATGTTGGAACCAAAGTCACCATTATTTTACCTTTACAAAACACCACCAATGACATGTCAGAAGCCATTTCAGAGATTCTTCAAGGAGAAGGTGTCGAATTTAATGCCATCATTATTGATCGAGATGAATGCTTTAGGAATGTATTGTCCGATTACCTTTTATTATTCAAACATCTTAAAAAGTTGGAAACTTTTTCAAGTTTGGAAGAAATGTCCATCCTGTCACTTTCATCCTCAAATTTGAAAACAATCATCTTTTGTTCGGAAGAACATTTTAAGGTACTCTTGAATGAGAAGGCAACCATACTTGGACATCAAGACAATGTCATTCTTGTGCCCACCACCTTTCGAGGAGCAGAACGAGAATTCTTTGACATCAAATACCTTGCAAAACCTGTTCGATCCAGTGAATTGGTGGAATTTATGAGTTTTGTGTCGACCAACACACAACGACCAAATGCAGAGGTGTTGTCAAATACTTCGAATGCAGTGTCCGATTCCTGTTCGTCCTCATCGTCGTCGTCGTCACATTTTGCTGCACCAACGAAGAACAATGAAAACGGAGAAGAATCCTCTCTGGTGGCTGCAAACAAAAGTTCCGAAACAACAACCACGACATCGACATCGACCACAAGCTATTTTGACTTTAGCAAATTCTCAGTGTTGTTGGCGGATGATAATGCAGTGAATCGAAAAGTATTGATGAAAATGTTGCAAATCATTGGATTCAAAGATATTGACACTTCCAATGATGGAATGGAATGTTTTGAAAAGTTCAAACAAAAAGCATATCAACTCGTCTTGTTGGATTGTTACATGCCCATTCTGAGTGGACGAGAAGCGTGTGAAATGATTCGAAATTTAGAGAAACAAACTCACACGCGAGTTCCAATCATTGCAGTCACTGCCAACAACTTTGAAAGTGAACAAGTGCTCAAATCGAATGGTTTCGATCATGTCATTTACAAACCCTTTGTGGTGGATTATTTGAAACAAGTGTTTACCAACATTTTAGATTACTATTCACAACATTATTTTCATCATCCTCCTCATGTCAATAACCACACCACCACCAGCACCTCTACCACGACAGCTGCTCATGTCCATTCTCCTCCTCCTCCTCATTATCCACAACAACCTCACAACCAAAATCAGTGAATGAACCCTTGCGTCAGCTCCAATTGGCCAAATTGCCTTAATTGTTTCTGAAGAGAGCCAGAACCTCACTCCCTCAGTGTCGATCACACCAACACAAATCTACGGTCATTCCTTATAATGGATTTGGTGCCAAATCGAACGTTTTCGTACAAT